TATGTTTATATCTCATAATGCAGTAAATATGTCCATGTTATAATGGAGTATATATGTTTGTGTCAATAAAGGAAATCAAATTACTAGTAAAAATTTTAAAAGTGTGTATGATCTAGTAAGTATTACTATGGATTTCATAATTTTCTCCAAGAAAGGAAACTATATCATTTGACTTGTGCAATGAGCTTATTATAGTTTAGAAAAAAAAAAATTGTATATGTTTTTAAACTACAAATTTATTCTTTAAATAAGATTTTAAAATAAACTTCTTTCCTAGGCGTGCATTTTCTAGGTTCTCAATGGCTAAGGGATACTTAGGAAATACCCGGCTAGAGAGGGGTTTTACAATGTAGATTTCCTTGTTGGGCTTGAGTAGGTACACATTTAGAATTTATCATGTCTGGAAACTTTATAAGGAAAGTGTGGCTTCACTTAGGAAATGATCACGGGTTACGTGAAATACAAGTGTTTTCTCATACATGTTTAAGGTTGAAGGTTATTTTCATTTATGAACTATGTTATCCACTCATTGGGCTTTTTAGCTCACTGTGTTATGATTTTCCTCTTAAGTTTGCATACAGGATATGTAAAGCGTATACTATATGCTTTCGGTCAACCACAAACGCATGTTCATCGGCATGATGTGTGTACATGTTAGAACACTCTGATATAGTATTTTGTGTAACTGATTTCTAATGCTTACATTTTCAGAATTATGACATTAAGTGTTTTATGAATGGAGTTTTATAAATTGTTTTCAAAAAAAATTTCACCCTCTTCTTGGGACCCTGAGTCTCTTAGAACGCTTGGATCCGACGAGTTAAGGAATACCTGAGAGGCGGCCTGACATGGCACGTCTCGGTCACCCGAGTCCTATGGGAGCGCTCAGATCCTATGGGACAGAGAGGGTTAGGATGGGTCGCATCACAAACGTTTGAGTACATCTACCATGCTATTGTATTGATGAAAGCTAAAGCAAATGCATTATTCATCTTTGGCATGGCTACTAGAAACTTCAGTTTGAGCTATGCTAGATGCAACACAAATCAAACAATGTTTAAATTCCACTTGTTAATTGACCTCCATTAAAAAGATTATACATATATGTTCCTTTTATCTTAAATTTATCAATCACCTTTCTGTTTCATCATAAATTAAAAAGATTTGCACAATGCACGTACTTGTATCCATTACACTTCAGTTTCCCTATATATACTCGTGGAAATTTATTTTATAATCAACAAGAAGCCCAAACTCTCTAAGCAAAATGCTTCCCCTATAGCTTTTCTGTTTTCTTCTTGCCATAGCAATAATAATTGTTCCGATTCAGGCTGTCCGATACATTGCCACTAACAATGCCTCAGACACACTCGGTGGCAAGTTCTGATAATGAGATCGGGGCCGCTTGTAGCAAACAAACCCTACGGAAAGCCTTAAAGTTTATTTGGGATACCTTTCAGCAAGACAAAGGTGATAGAAAGACTACAACCAAGTGGTAATGTCGTTAGAAGTCGGTCCCATTAACGGGTTTGGTACCATATCTTTGCCAACCCAGATTATATCGCAAACTACAAGGGCGATGTAAAGACAGAATTTATCGGAATCATGTACCATGAATGCACTCGAGTATGGCAATGGTGTGGCAAAGGGAAAGCCCCTGCCGGGCTAATGACTGGCATAGCTGATTATATATTAGATTAACGGCGGGGTGGGCGCCCTCGCATTGGAGAGAAAGAGGCTCAGGTTCCTATTGGTATGAAGGTTTTGAAGTTATCGCTTGCTTTCTTGAATACAGCTATGGATATCAAGGTTTGTTGCTGTATTCTGTCGCTATCTAACAATGGACGACAAAGACGAAACTTTTAGACCAATTATGCAGGTTCATCAATCACAATATGATTTAGGGGTTCACATGTATCCAAAAGTTTAATCAAATAACAAAATTACTCTTAAAATTTCAGAAATAATAGAAATTCTTCTACCGTTAATGTGTCATTAAAATTTATAATATGATACAACAATATATATTTATGAAATTGTCTCTCTATCGTTTATTTTAACATAAAAAACTTTAACGATGGAAGAATTTCTATTATAACTACAACCATAGAGAAATTTTTGTTATTTGATTATTACCTAAGGGAGATTTTTATCATAAACCCTATAATTTATTCATCATTTAGCCCCAATGCAACTGAGACAACATGATGATTAAATAAAAGTGTTAATGAAGTTAAAATATTGAAATTATTTACTTGGATTAACAACATAATATTTACACTAAGATAAATGATAACATACAACATATTAATTACAAATTTAAACATAACGATTTCTTTTAAAATATATGTGGGAGTCTAAAATCATACGATGCCCTATCAAGCTCAGACAAGAATGATCCACTACATCAGACTAAGCCTTACGATCCAATTTTGATTGGATCAGCACCAGAGCTCATGACTTGGGCCAAACCGTGACCTCCAGACCCAGCTTTCTTCTAGAATGGGTGACTCCAACACCCCACCTAAGGCCAAGCCTTCCAGACTAAGGTAAGTAGCATTTTTCATGTTTTACTTTATCCTAATTCGCCCAAGATTTCGTATCTTAGGCAGATTAGGACCCCCGTTACTATTAAGTCAAGTGAATCAGGATCTTTCCTATTCACGAGACCTTTACCCTTAAGGATTCAAAGTCCTATTAGGATGCAAAGACCCAACAACTACTATATAAACAGAGGTCACTCCCCTATTTAGGCATTGAGCCTCAATATCACCTACTAACACCCAAGCTCTTACTTCTGAGAGCTATGCTACTATGTTGTAGTTTTAGTCCCTGACTTAACCTCCGGTAACCCTTCCTTCCCTTACCCTCACTAAATTGTCTCATTCAGTTTTACTGACTTGAGCGTCAGAATACCTATGGCAGATACCACACCAGTATCTGAGTAAGCTCCACACTTGTTTGCTCTTTCTGTCAAATTGCCAATGAGTCCAACTTCACGGGATTAGACCTTGCTTCCGTAACCATAGATTTTAACATCTACAATATATTTTTTTAAATAATAATATTATTTATTAAATTAGAATCTCATATTTTAGATCCCAATGATTAAAAATAATCGCATCTAAAATTGTAACCTTATAAAGGCTAATCACTGACAACCCCGTGAAATTTACCTCATTTACCAAAACCCCTGGGGTATTAGGATCAGGCGACTAGCCTGCGCCCCCTTTGTTAAAGCAAACAATTCAAAATCTTTGTAAAAGGAAGTAAATACCTATACTACCCTTATTCTTTAAATTTGGTATTCAATTCTACAGATATTATGTAATATTATTTTTATCACCCATTATAACTTATATATAAATAAAAAAAATTATTAAGTTTCTATATAAATAAAGGCTTTTTATTAGCAAACCCCTATAGTTTTCATGAGATCGTTGGAAACAATAGCCAATTTCGAAATTGTGAGCCCAAACCCTATCCCATTAAATTCTGTTAATAAAAATTTGTCAAATATCAAAATGACATTTTTATCCTCAAGTTAAAAGTTTATAATCACCTAAAACTCATTAATTTTACATTCATCAAACAATATTTACAAAATTTTGCTGTTACCCTATAAACTTTATAAACATTTCTTATTTAACCCTTTAACCTCATCCAACTTTTCATCAAATCATGCCCTTTTTTCATCTAATCACCATGTCCAGAGAAGAAGCTGAGAACAAATGAAGAAAGAAAGAAGGAAGAAGAAAGAGAAAACAAGGGAGAAAAAAAAAATGAGGATGGGGGAGGAATTATAAAATTTCAAAAAATTGGGTAAAAGAAAATTAAAAAAAAAATTCTTTTAAAGTTTAAAAAGTTTAAAGTACCCTTGTAAACATTTGAAAATATCAATATAAACTTCAAAACGGTTAACTTCAATGGAAAAACTTAACGAAATGGGGTTAAACTTAAACTCGCATTTCCGAAATTGAGGTGTTGTTATAATTTCATGAAAATATAGGAGGTTACTAATAATGCCTAAAATAAACATCATAAATCCACTCCTCATCCTAATCTCTACTCACTCTCTCGATTCACTCCACGCAAGAAGAATCTCACAACCAAGCCAGATATTCAAATTCAGTGATGCTAGATATTAAATGATGTTCTTTTGTGAATTAATTGTTGTTTCTTATTATTTGGTATCTCAATTATTCACAAAGTCATGAGATAATCTTAAACATCAATACTAGACTTACAAAGTTGGAACCCAAATTAATATGATTTACTTTTCTGTAGTTATATCAACAACCACATAATTGTGATTCCAACTTTGTATACATTACGTAATTATTGAAAAAAAAATTACTTTATGTTCAACTTTTCATACAAACTCTCTCATCCTAAGCTTGAGTTTATTTCTCCCAAATTCAAAACCAAACTCAGTTTATAGGTCAGTTATGGCTCTGAACATGTCCAATATTCAGTATAAAATTAGAATTTTAAAGAAAAAATGTGCCAATAAAGCTGTAAATAAGAACTATTAATTAGTGGGTTATTTACACTTCCATCCTTAAGGTGTAGAGTATATCACCTTTATTCAGTGGATCAATCGGTTCAGAACTTGTGGCAAATAAAGCATTATTATGTTGGTAATCCTAGTTATCTAAATAACAACGTTTTTGACAATATGCATACAAAACGAATACACCAAACAATCACTTACATGATGAATAACGTGAAAGTACTCCTTGGATTTCTTCAACTTTGTCTTTTAAATACGTGATCCTTTTCTGATTATCAACATTTTAATGAGATATTAGGATACAATAAACCAAAAGAAAAAAAAAATGCTTAAAATTAATATTCAAAATTGATGGCTAAAAAGATTTTGGGAAGTTGACTCTTTGACTGTCGGTTTCTCCATTGCGTGGCATCTGAGTTATAAGCATGCATAAAGATTTAGATATTATTTCAGTCAACGTTGTCTTGGTCTTTGTATGTTAGCTAGATATCCTCTTTCAGCCAACGTAGTCTTGGTCTTTGAAACGTGATACAGCATCTCAGAAATGGAAACTAACTCACTATTCGTAGATTTCTGACCGTATCGTGAAACTGAAGAGATTTTAGGCACTGGAGAGACACAAAACTCTCGTTACAGAAACCTACGGCCGAGAGTCTTCCTTTATGTGAATGATAGTGACCCTTTATGGAATTGGATTTTAATGGGTTTGTGTGTGATTGGAATTGCATTAGATCCTTTGTTCTTCTACGCTCGATGATGATGATAAAAAGTTCCTTGGATTGGACAAGAAGTTGGTGATCGTGGCTATTGCTCTACGTTCCTTCTTTGATGTCTTTCATCTGTTTTATATTATTTTGGAACTGCGTCCTCACTCTTTCGCTCCTTTTTTTATATATCAAAGAGTTAATTCAAATGATTACCCACAGGGAACTGCAAGGAAATATTTGATGCTTCCAATTGATCTTCTCTCCATTCTTCCACTCCCACAGGTGAGTTTTCGGATTTAATTATTTATTCTCATAGCTAAATATATAATATTTGATATCGGTTATGACTCTGAACTCGCTCAACTCTCTCCAGGTGGTGATTTTAACTGTCATTAGCGGATCGAAACGTCCAAATGTGATGAATTTGTTGAAAGTTTTTGTTATTGTCCAAAATGTGCCAAGGATTACTCGAATGTATCCTTTCTTTACAAAAGCTAGATCGAATTCGGCCAAACTTGCTGAAACTACCTGGGTCAAAGCTCCTTCTAATCTTCTTCTTTATATGCTTGCAAGTCATGTAAGTTAAATTTCTTTTATTTAATTTTCATGATTCACCTTGTAACTATCTGTTCATTTTAATATTTATGAAATATATATATATATATATATTAGTTTTTTAACAAAATGATTTTTTTGTTACCAAACATAACATAATATAAGAATAACACAGTGTAATGTTCTACCTAACATCATAAAACATTTTGTATGGCATTATATAATAGAATACAATGCGGTCGGCTACCGGCAATATGTGGGTAGGTGGGGGTGTTTTGGTCAATTTATAAACTTTTATTATTAGGAGTGTTTAGTTAAATTAATAAATCTAAAGAGTTAAAAATAATCTAAATATTTTGAGTTGAACAGAATAAAATTAGATTTTGAAAATATTAAAACAAATGCATTGGATTTTTAGGATAGGATAGTGAATAAGATAGGATAGTAATAATGTGTCAAACAGAGCTCTCAACCATGCACATTGTTAGACTTCAAAAGAGACTAGAATATAGAAGGTAGAACTTTTCACTGAAAATCTTGCGGGAGAGAAATTTTAAATTGGGATACGGGTTTTGTTGTTATTTACTCAACTCAATCGAGTCTGAGGTTTGTTTTTCCATTTATACTCTTTATCAAAAAACTACAAGAAGACATCTGTAGTTATGTACTCATCACCTTATAAGTAGTAAATTAGCTGTACAGATGACAAACATAATTTTCTATACAAGGCAAAAGAGAAAAACCAAACAAGTCATTGAGGAATTCTAAACAAGTTTGAGCGATTTTCATAATGAGCTTGCTGCAGTTCATCATCAACTTGCTGGCGCCGTCCATTATCAGATATTTAATTAACTGAATCCTAGGAGTCAGAATACTCCTTTTTTCACAATGAGCTCTAGATTAAGCTTCACTGAATCCCTTTATCAATTCTTAGCCAATAGCTAGTATATCATTAGCTTTCTCTAGTTTACACATGAAGCCTTGAAAGCCTGTTTAAACTTGTATAAAGGGTTTATAATAATTAGAAAATCAAATATGTCTTCTAGGTTGGCTTTCAATATTGCTATTGAATTTGATATTGGCTAAGATGTGTTAATTGTATAGCTTAGTTGACATGGCTAAGACTTGGCTGTTTCTCCTATCATAGCAAGTAAAGGATCAATTTTGTCCGTAATTTCAGCCTAGGAATGCATACAAAGTTCACAAAGAAAGAAAGGGAAATTGTTGCTAGAAACAGATGAAATTTCTAGAATTTTTTTTTTTGCATTAACAGGGGATAAGAACGTAGTAATAAAGAAACGGCAGACACATTGCTTGATTGTTGCATTTAAGTTGTAATCAAATTTATTAGTTTAACTGACTTGTACTATTATTGATGGCAGTGATGTTTTACTGAAAACATGAAGATAGGTTGCACGTCTGCAGGTTTTTGGAGCCAAATTTGAAGTGTACTGGGCTGAATTTGAATGCTGGAGCTGTTAGACTTTTGAATTATAATGTGATGTTTTTAGGTGTATACAGCCAACTGTTATGGTTTGGTTTAAGTGTAATGTACTTGTATTAGGTAATTGTGTATGGCTAGGTTTGAATTTGTGTAAAAATATCCTACTAAGAGTGGTTGTAACAGTGGCATTTTGGCTTTTAAATTGGCTGTTTGATGTAATACAACTAAAGCTTTTTTAATACAATTAGTAATAACCTTCTCTCAACTCTCTTTCCTTAGTATTCTCCAGTTAAAAAAACCATCATTTGGTATCAGAGCAACCATGATTCTCAGGGCCAAAAACACAACACCATAACTCACCACGACTCCATTAAAAGTCTTCTCCATGGCAACAAACCCAACTCCTCTTTCTCCACCCATCTTCAATGGTGAGCAGTTCCATGTTTGGGATGTCAAAATAAAGACTTATTTGAGAGGTCATGCCTTATGGCAATATGTGGAGGAAGGAAACAAGTCCCACAGCTTGGAGCAAACCCAACACTGAATCAGATAAGGATTCATGAACAAGAGTTAGCCAAGGCTTCAAGAGCATTGTCTTGCATCCATTTAGCAGTAACCGATCAAGTTTTCTCTAGGATTATGGCATGTGATACCCTTAAAGAAGCTTGGGATAAGCTCAAGGAGAAGTTTAGAAGAAGTAGCCAAACTAGAAACATGTAGGTCTTAAATCTGAGAAGAGAGTTTGAAATGCTCAAAATGCAAGAAACTGAAAATGTTAAGGAGTATGTGGATAGACTAATGAATGTGGTGAATAAGATTAAGCTACTTGGTGAGGATCATAGAATTGTGGAGAAGGTTCTAATTAGCCTGCCTGAGAGGTTTGAGGCAAAGATCTCCTCACTTGAAGACTCCAAAGACCTGTCCTAGATCAGTTTAGCAGAACTTGTGCATTCCCTTCAAGCACAAGAGCAAAGGAGGTTTTTGAGGAGGAAGACTCAAGTGAAGGGGCCATGATAGCAAGCCTAAAAGGAAGAGTTTTCCAAGGAGGAAACAAAAGGTATATTGGAGAGAAGAAGGGAAAGGAGAAAACCAACAACCAAGGAGGGAAACATGTCGAAATAAGAATCTTCGCTCCATGTTCACATTGCAAGAAGAAAAATCACTCCGAAAACAGGTGTTGGTTTAGGCCTAGCATACAATGTAAGTCTTGCAAGCAATTTGGGCACATTGAGAGAGTATGTAAGAACAAGGGGAACCAACAAGACTAGCAATCACAAGCAGTGGAAAACACACAGCAGATTCAATAAACAGAGCAACTTTTTGTAGTTTCAAGTTGCATGATTGCCAGCAGCCCTGATGTGTGGTTGATTGATAGTGGTTGCACCAACAATATGACTCCAAACCTTGGTAATTTTGTGAACTTGGATAAGAGTTATTGTTGGAGTAGGTGCCCTAAAGCCAATCAATTATTGTAGAATTGACTCTTTGTAATAATGTTCATTAATCAATAATAAATGGCATCTTATTCTATATCGCGTAAATCATTATTATTGCAATATGTATTGATATATGTCCTTAGAATGGTAGAACCGTGACGAGGGTATCAAGTGTTTCAAATCTTGATAGTGAGAACCCTATGAGCACATATGGTGGCCATTCTAGAAACGTCCGTAGCCCCAGTATTATTCTGAAGTAAGGGCACAGATAATACGGTAAGGCTATCATAGTGTTGAACGACCCTGTCGAAAGGCAGTGACTGATCTCACTTGTCAAGGTTGTTTGGTGACAACCTGGTGCAACACATGGGTGCTTGTTGTAGGCGGATATACCGCAGCAAGTTCACTGGACTGACCCACCAGAGGATTCCATATGGATGGTAACCCCAGTGTCTATGGAACAAATCCTCTAACGAATGGTGGTGCATGTGATCCTTAGACTTGAGATCACCGGAGCGCCTTGTGCACCGATTGGTACAGTTTGACACTAGCCTAACGCAGTTCTATTCAGAGCTGTCAGTACGGTGGTGATTGGCTATATCAAGGAGTGTATCAAGACTATGGTGGATTGACAAAGGATTCATCACTCCCGGGTACGGGAGAAGTTATCTCACGGCGCAATTCAGTATATGGCAATGACACTAAAACTGTGGCCACAGTGGGATTGAGTTGTTGCTCTATCCAGATTATAATACGGGTCATTGGTCCAGAAACTGAATATATAATATCGAGAGTAACCGAAGGTTGACACTATTTCTATGCCTTCGTCTCGTCGAGATAACGTATGATGAAAGGATCGAATTGTACGGTAACCATATCGTTGACAGGTAGCTACTTTGCTGAATCCGAATCTATCGGGTGGCCATGATGCCTTGCTAGGGGCCAATCTTGGTCTGTGTATTAGTGAGACGATTAATTGGTGTTAATCGCGATACTATACACTACCGGTATGATGAGGAGCCTATGGGTCACACACATAGAAGATAATTTAAGAGCCAAGAAGAAAGAAGGGCGTTTTCATCTTTTTAGGCAAAAAGGTATTTTGGTAATTTCACAGTGCAATTAAATTTGCTGAGGTCGTAGACTTTTATTTAATTTGTTAGAAAAAATTAAATAAGTGAAATTACGGTTAAATGTGTGTTCGTACATATTTAATTAAATCATCATTCTTGTTAAATGTTAATTAAATATTAATTGATTTTAATTGAAATAATGATGATTTAAATTAAAATATCTAATTGGGAGTGTTTGGAAAATTTGGGGGTGTTTGGGTTGGAGCCCAAGCCCATTCCACTAGGGCAACTTAAATTGGACTATAAAAGAAAATGTGTTAATTGAAAATGTGTGTGAATTCATTTTATTCATTTTGATTATTTTTATCGAAAAAGAGAAAAAACCCTCCAACCCTTAAACACTCTCACTCTCACGCCACTTTTGCTTTTGCAAAGAATCAAAGTTTTTCTTTGGTTTGTTCTTCTTGATTTCTTAAGGCCAAGGAGGATCTAGCAAATCCCTCTCTGGTTCTTGTTGATTGTCTTCGTGTGGACCTCTACGGTTCGATCCTACACTTGGATCAGTAGCAAACACATTCAGAGACAATATTGGGGGAGCCTCCAAACGTGGGTATGAATCTAAACTTTAGATTTATTTTATTTTCTGCAGATTCTTGATATTATACATAAACTGTAAAATTTGTGCCTTGATTTTGGGCTTTAAGGAGCGATCTACGATTGTATAAAATTTTGTTTTCCGCTGAGCAACCAGGTCGTTTCCTAACAGTTATCAATCCAAAGTGAAGGTGGGAAATGGTGAGCTACTGGAGGTGAAAGGCAAGGGAGAAGTTGTTGTCCAAACCAAGTTTGGTGCCAAATATATATCTGATGTTTTATTTGTTCCTGAAATCAATCAAGCCTACTTAGTGTAGGACAAATGCTTGAGAGGAATTACTCTCTGCATTTTAAAAACTCAACATGTGTCATTATAGAATGTGATGGGAGTAAGTTAATGAGAGTTAGCATGCAAGGAAAAAGCTTCCTAGTAGAGTGGGGGAAGACTATTTTTCAAAAACATACAGCTAACATAGATGATTTACAGCTGTGGTATAGGAGGTTTGGACACTTTCACTACCACACTCTTAAGGAACTTAGGCTTAAGAATCTTCTCCAAGCATGCTCAAAATAGACCAAGGAGAAGGCTTGTGTAATATCTGTCAAATTGGGAAGTTAAGTAGGCCTCCATTTCTAGCAAACAAAGCATGGAGAGCAAGTGAGAAGCTATAGCTTGTACACACTGATGTGTGTGGTCTAATGCAGTATGCGTCCTTAAATGAGAGTAGATACTTCATTCTCTTTATAGATGATTTTTCCAAGATGACTTGGGTGTATTTCTTGAACCAAAAGAGTGAAGGTTACTACTGTATTCAAGAGGTTTAAGTTGCTGGTCAAAAATCAATCAGGTTTGACACTAAAATCAGTAAGGAGTGATAATGGAATTGAGTATACCTCAAATGAGTTTGAAGAAGTGTGCAGGGGAGTTGGAATAAAGCATCAATTTAGTAGTCCATACACTCCACAGCAAAATGGAGTTAGTGAGAGAAAAAACAAGACAGTGATAGAGATGGCTAGGTGCATGATGCCTAAGAAAAATTTGCCTAAAACGTTTTGGGCTGAGGCTGTCAATACTGGAATATATCTCCTAAATACACTTCTAACTAAGGCACTTGAGGACAAGACATCGTATGAGACCTAGTATGGTGTCAAGCCAAAAGTTGATCAATTAAGAGTGCTTGGAAGTGTATGCTATGTCGATGTACCAGCCAACAAAAGGAACAAGTTAGATGAGAAAGCTGAAGTGGGCATCTTGATTGGGTACAGTAGCCAATCAAAGGCTTATAGGATTTATAATCCAACAAGTTACAAGATTATGGTTAGCCGAGATGTAAAAGTAGATGAGCATGCTTTTTGGAATTGGGAAAGCAACCAAGTTGAAGTCAAGTGAAGTCTCCAGCAAGATAGAAGTTCTAGAAACCAGAATGAAGAGCTGAATTCAAACAAAATTGATGAAGCTCTAATCAGGGGTACAAAGCCATTATCTGAAATTTATGAGAGGTGCAATGTAGTTGAGTTAGAACCAACAAGCTACAATGAAGGTATCAAATCTGAAGCTTAGAGAGCTGTAATGAAGGAGGAGTTTTCCTCAATAGAAAGGAATGGAACTTGGAAGCTGGTTGATAGGCCTATAGGCAGGAAAGTGATTTAGGTCAAGTGGATTTTTAAGAGGAAATTGAACCCTGATGGGTCAGTAAACAAGTATAAAGCAAGGCTTATTGTGAAGGGCTTTGCACAACAATTTGGGGTAGATTTTTCAAAAACTTTTGCCCCTGTAGCAAGACATGACACCATTTGACTTCTTCTTGCATTGGCAACTCAATTCAAGTGGAAAATCTTCAAACTTGATGTGAAATCTACTTTTCTCAATGGATGGCTTGATAAGGAAATTTACATTGAGCAACCGAAGGGATATGAAGTCAAGGGTAAAGAAGAGAAGGTTTATTTGTTAAAAAAGACCTTGTATGGTCTAAAACAGGCCCTTAGAGCCTGGTACAACAGAATTAATGACCACTTGTGCAATTTGGGTAATGCTAGGAGTCCAAACGAGCACACTCTCTATGTAAGGGAACAAAATAGTGAATTCATGATTGTTTCCCTTTATGTTGACGACCTCTTGGTTATTGGAAGCAACCA